AAACTTCAAACCGTTTTCAAACAAACGAACATGCAATGTTTTGTTCCACCTTAGGCGATCTAGTCTATACTTGTTTGTTGTGCGCATAACATAGTAATTCTAGGTTAATAAACGGAATAAGAACACATGTGTTTTCAAAAATAAAATATCATGCTTAGTACAGGCCGATCTTTGATCTGGAGAGCGGGGGTGCTCATTGCATGACCTTCCCCTCTCGTACCCAAGTTCCCGAGCCGAGGTAACTTTGATGATGATAGACATGTGGCCTTAGGCACGAGTCAGGGTTTCCTAAATTTCTCCAAAAATAAAATATTTAGGTGGCGACTCTGTATCTGGAAAAACTGTCCATGTTTGACACTTCTTTATTAAAAATCATTTTCCAAAACGATTTGCCGAATATGGACTCTTTGGTAATTTATCAGTCTTACATTGCACTTTGCGAGATTAGATTCAGAACCGTGACATTGAGTCCGAACTGTAGTAGCTAGAGAACAAATCGGGATTTCACACCATCGCAAGCGCGAAGCCCGAGGAGTTCTCGGGGCGCGTCTACACGGGGTACTCGGCCCAACAGTGCTTACGGGATCATTCAGGTCCGGAAAGAGAGTAAGGGGACAGGACGAGGCCATGTAGTAGGAGAGAGAGATGTAATCGAAAGAAGAGTAGTTTTTGACAACCTTTCTACTCTGCTCAGTCTCTCTATTCTATCTCTCTCACAAAGCGAATGAGGAAGAAGAAGGCGAAGAGAGTGATTAAGAAGAAGACAGAGGAGAAGACGATAAGAGGGAGAGAGCCGCTTTTGTCGATCGGCTAACGCAAAAATGAGGACGCGTGTCTGATGTGATTTTTGACCGACAATAAAGAGCTTAAACGACTGTGAAACTAGATTGCTCCATTTGTAAAGAGGTTGTGAAGTCTAGTCATAATTTTTATTAGGGTATTATTAATTTCAATTGTAAAAACCTAATTCACCTCCCCTCTTAGGTTATCTTTTGGGCAACATGCCGAATTCTGGAATTTCCAGAATTGCATTTGAAGTTCAAACTTAGTATTCAAAGGCCCAAAGCTCGTGTTTTTGGTACAAAAACATGGAAGGTCAATGCATGGCATGAGAATATGAATTATTTGAGACCAATTGACCAAAACCATGATCTAATTCTCAAAATCATTTAACATTTTTCTTGGTATGGTTAAAGCTTATGCATTTAAACTTAATACAAACTTCGTATCTTCATGAATCATTCATGCATGTTAATTATTGACTCCAATCCCTCTTCAAATAGCATAAATGATGCTCAAAATTATGAAGTTCATTAAAATTATGCATGCATGTATGATTTGGTGTCATATTCTTCATGTTTCAATAATCAGCTTCTAATTACAACATAAATCCTTAGAATTGAGTTTCATATCATGATAATTCTCACATGCATGTAGTAAAGGACTCTCAAATTAACATGAACTATATATTTCATGCTCAAATATGCAAATTCATGGCAATTTCTTACATGCATGTGTATATTAACTTCAAATTCATCAAATTCAACTTAATTCTTGTTCTTGATCTCAAAACAAGCTAGAATTCATGCAATGATGAACTTAAACTCATGAAATTGGGTTCATTAACTCACCTAGGAGTCCAAATCTTCCAAATTCTAACTAGTTCTTTGAATTAACCTCTTCAATTTCAAGCTCTACAATTGGCTCACTCTCTCTCTAGAGTGTTTATTTCAGATTTTTGAGCTCCAAGGAAGATGAATATAAGTGTAATTAGGCCATTATATAGGCTTGCCTAATCAAATTTGATTAGGGCTAAGTAATGGTACTTAATTCAATCAGTTTAAACTAATTAATTCATTCCGAATCAGTTTTCAATTAAATTTTACCATGGGCTCTAAAAATTACGCTAATCACAATAGCGTAGTCAATTTCGGTTTATGTGGCCGATAAGGCCTTCAATTTTCAATTCACAACAGTAAGTTGATTAGATTTTCCTACGGTGAACAGATATAAGGCCAAATCCACATATAATCATGCAATTAACACCCAAATTCAAATTAATCACATAATCACAACATAATCATGATTAATTAACTTAACACAAGACATGGTTATCACAACAACCCATGAACCATTGGTTGAGTTTCAACAGAACCCATGAAACCAGGAGCATTGGTTGAGTTTGAAAACAAATCCAGATCAATAAATGGGTAAATTGAGGTGGGTTTTCGAGTTTTTCATAGCAATTGCAGAGCAAATTGTGACTTGTGAATACAAAGAGAGCAAGAGACTTCCAGTGTGTTTTTCATAGCAATTACAGAGCAGGTGATGCTTCTGAGTGTAGGAAAAAAAATTCATTTTTCTCTTTTCGGTCGACCAGCTAGTCGTCCCCCGGACATTCAGTGTGTTTTAATGACCACTGTTGGAGTTGCTGATATCAAATTGAGAAATTCGTTTCTTTTTTACTTAAATTTGATGAAATTTTTAATGAACCGTTGGAAATGCTCTTAACAAGTTGTATTACTAATTATTAATTTAACATTTTAATTTTTATTCCACGTAGGCATCGATGGGCTCACTTTACATGATTATTTTTGACTATCATGTAATAAAAATTCCTCATAATTTTTTTATAAATATATTTAACACCGCCTATAATTTTTATATAAATATATTTAACCCCACCTAGTAAAAAACTTAAAACATTTGATAATTTATAGATAAAAACTTATTTTTTATCAATTCTAAAAACTTAAAGCATTTGATAATTTATAAATAAAAACTTTATTTATTTTTGGTACAAATTCTTTATTTAAAAACTTGTTTCTAATACAAGTAAGTTTCCCCTCTTTTTTTGGCAATCACAATACAGTGCTTTGTAGGTAAAGATATTTGGATTCGTTTGGAAAGTGGGTTAACTTTTTGACTATTTTAGTTTGGGGCTAAAAAATTTTATTTGGAAAAGGCTTTTGATTTTTTAAACTTTTTTTTGTGAGAGAAAGAATATAATAATTATGAGTTGAATATAATTTTTGTTTTATTGAGTTAAAAAGTCTATTTTATTTTTTTGTGACTATTTTAGCCGAAAAAGCCCAAACCCCAACTTCCTAAACATAGGCTAAATATCCTCTTTTATTTTATTTTATTTTATTTATAATTGAGTAGCTAGATCAGTTTATGCGACAGGGGATGGCTACAGGGGAGGGCGACCGACGATCCGTTCCCAAATCTTCCATGTGTATGGTGCAAGTCTCACTATGTGTCAGAGTTACACGTCAAAAAATTATATTTGTAGTGCAATAATTTCTCCACTGTTTATAAATAATTTAATTTCTCCTCAAAATTTTTTTATGGACTGGAAATTATTTCTCTACTTAAAACTTTTTTAATAAAAGTCTACTCCCAAAAAGGAAATGAGATACAAAACAGAAATATAATTTACAATTGTGAAATATACGCTATAGAGAGGAGCGTGAAAAACATTGAATAGAATTCGGTGGACTAACTGCCGCCTAAGGGAAAAGGCCGGCACAACGACGTCTTGGGCCGCTTGTCTTCGAAGCTCCCGCGTGCCACGTACCCCCCCAATGCTAACAAACAATTATTACCAACCAACTAATGGGAAAATTATTAATTGGTATTGGAAGGTCATGTGAGGATGCTCTTTACTAACGCTTGGTTTGACCTATTTAGATCGTTTGAAATGATTTAAATAAGTCTATTTTTTATTCTTTTATAAAATAATGTATAAAAAAGTAAAAAGGTAATGTGATGAAAAAAAGATAAAAAGTATGTACTTATTTATGATAGCTAAACTTGGCCTTAGTAAAAGTCAAAAAGTCAAAGAATCGTTATTTTATTTAGGGATTGTTTGGGATGACCTAAATAAGTGTACTTTTTGTCTTTTTTGAAAGATGTGCAGAAAAGTAGAGAGATGATGTGATGAAAAAAAGATAAAAAAAATAAAAAGTGTGTACTTATTTAGGATAGCCAAACTTGGCCTTAATTACATCATTTTATTTAAATTATATTATTTCTTTAATACATCATTTTAAATTTAATCTAAATTTAACTCATATTTCATAAAAAGTCAAAAAATATACTTATTTAGATCATTTTAAACAACCCCTAATTATAAATTATTACATTCTTTTATAGTAAGTTAAAATTTTTATATTTAAAAAGATGATTGAATTTTTTTATAATTAGATATAATATTTGTAAAAAAAAAAATAAAATGATTATAAATTTAATGTGACATTTTATCTTATTTACTATTTTAATCGATTTTGTCTTTTTGTAAATTAACCTAACAAATACTAAAATTTTTCTTCCCAAACATCTCCAATATAAAATTATAAATTTCATTTTTTTTTATCAATTATAATATTTCATCCGTCTCAAAATATTAGTTTCTTATTTTATTTTTTATTGTTCCAAAATATTAATCCATTTCAAAATACAAAAATAATATAAATTTCATATTTTGTCCTTTTAAATTCATTAATAACATAAAAATTATAATTATGACATTAATAGAGTAATTTTAGAAAAAATTAATTTTTTTTAAATGTAATAATTATACTTATAAAAAAATTAAATTCTTAAAAAAGTCCATTATTTTGGGACAAAGGAATACATTAAAAAAAAAGAATAATGTCAGAGATATTAAATTTTCTATTAAATAAATGACCAAATAACTTGTAGAGTCTATAATTTTATAAATCTCACATTTATATGAAACATTTTTTTTTGATACATCGAAAATGTTAAGTGAGATATTTAATTATTTATTTGACGAAAAATTTAAGATTTATAATATTTTCGTTAAAAAAAATATTACGTGACACATTAACCAATAACTTCTCCAACAAATGTCACTCCCTCCTCTCTCTGCCCGGGGGCGGCGTTGCTTTTACACCAGTCAATCCCCTCGCTGACTGCGCCCACCCCCACACCCCATCCATCCCTCACTACTTTCTCTCTCTAAAAACTACACCACCTCCACAATTCCTATAAATTCCCTCATCTCCTCCTACATCATTCCAACTTCTCTCTCTCTCTCTCTCTCTCTCTCGTTAATAATAATTTTGATACTGTATGGCTGCGAAGGAGAAGAGTAACGGCGTTAAGGGAGGTAACGAGAAGACTAACGGCGTCAAGGAGGTGCATTACAGGGGAGTGAGGAAGAGGCCATGGGGACGATACGCGGCCGAGATCCGAGACCCCAACAAGAGGAGCCGTGTCTGGTTAGGAACCTTCGACACAGCGGAGGAGGCCGCCAGGGCTTACGACGCCGCCTCCATCGAGTTCCGCGGCCCCAAAGCCAAAACTAACTTCCCCTTTCCCTCCTCCCAAACACTGCCCATCATCAACACCCCTAACCCTAACCCTAACCCTAACCCTAACCCTAATCGTAGCCCCAGCCAGAGCAGCACGGTCGAATCATCAAGCCCCGATCGGATCTCCCATGCACCGGTGGAACTCGACCTCACGCGCCGCCTCGGCGGAAGTGTTGTCGGTACTGTGTCTGTTGCTGAGTATCCGGTTTTCTACCAACGGCCGGCGGTGACGGTTCTACCTTACGCGCATCCGGCGTTGTACTTTGATGCGCTTGTACGATCGGGGATGGTGAGTCGGGGACAGCCGTACCAACGAGTCGGCACCGAGTTTGACGGGGGACTCGGAGGTGGAGCCCTGAGTGAGTCGGACTCCTCGTCTGTTGTTGTAGACTGTAATAACGCACATGAGAGTAATCGTAGGAAAGGAGTTCTTGATCTGGATCTTAACTTCCCTCCACCGGTCGAAGCTTGACGGTGAGGGTGATAATGAATAGACAGATTTATAACCGTTTGGATGTATAGAATTTACTACCTGTTTTTTGCGACTGTCAGAGGAGAAGTTAGATTTTTTCTCTGGTTGTTAATTGTTCATTTTATTTTGAAATAATTCGTTAATACCTTTTAATTTTGTGATTGTCTTCCATTTTTGTTACTCTTTGTTTTCTGTGGGAATGTTTTTAAATATAAAGACCATCAAAATAGCATCTCCCATCCATCCTTTCCGTCTTTAAATTTGAAGAATTGGGTACTCCAATCTATCCTCTCAAACTCTCAAAATATGATGGATTCATCCTCTTAAGGCTTCGTATCGATGTGGGTTGATTTTTTTTTTTCTTTTTTTTCTGATTATATTTTAGTGTTGAGTTAAAAAGTTTAGATTGGGATTTGTTTTTTTGATTTTTTTAATTTTTATGACAGGAAAGGTAAAAAAATTATGGTTTGGATGGAATATTTTATTTTATTGAATTAAAATTTACGAAAGAAAAGATAAAAAAAAGTTTGTGATTTGAATGTAATATTTTATTTTATTGAATTAAAATGTTTATTTTATTTATTTTGATTATTTTAATCATAAATCATAAAGTTCAAAAATGTTGTATGCCAAATGAAGGCTAAATTTAGGGGCTTTTTTCTAAACTAAGCTTCTTTTGTCTCTTATTTTCCAAACTAGTCTTAGCCTCCGTTTGGGAAGAATTAAAGTGGGTTTTTTTGGTTATTTTAGTCATAAAAGATAAAATAGACTATTTTAGTCATAAAAAATAAAATATCACATCTAATTCGTAATTATTACACTTTTCTCTCACAAAAAAAAGTCAAAAAATCAAAAAGTCCTTTCCAAATCAAGCTTTTTCGCCCAGGCTAAAATAGTCAAAAAAAATCAAAAAGTCAAAAAGTCAACCTACTTTTCAAACGGAGGTTTAGTTTTGGCGGATTTTCTAAACTAAGCTAAAGCGATATTATAAATCACGCTTTAACTGTTTGGAGGCTAAAATTTAATGAATAGTGAAGGTGTTATTGTGAATCGCGATTTTACTTAAGAAAACGCTGTTTCTAATAGCGATTTTAACCTCAATTTATGAAACGCTATTTCGAATAGCGCTTTATTTGCAGATTGGTTTTGTAAAGAAAACGATATTACAAATAGCGAGTTTAGCACTTGATTTGCAGAATGGTTTTGTAAAGAAAATGCTATTATAAATAGCGAGTTTACTTGTGAAGAAAACATTATTGCAAATAGCGAGTTTACTTGAAGAAAACGCTATTTAGAATAGCGTTTACATTGTTAAACTGCAATTGAGAACGCTTTCAGTGTTTATTTCTTTCTTGGTAAGCAGATTATTGTTTAATATTTTGTTTTTTTTCCTGTTGTCATTGTTTTGGTGATAATGTGATTTATAAAATTTTATTGACTTTAAAGTCATTGTCATGTTAAAATTTTTTTTTTTTTTTTTTTTGTTTTTGTTTTTGTTTTGGTTTAGAAGGTGTAATTCAAAAATTTTACATAATATGAGAAAAACCTCTTTTCATATATTTATTTTACATAATATTTTTAATATATATAATTTTAAATATTTATTTTACATAATATTTTTAATATATATAATTTTAAAATCATATTCATTTAGCCAATCATGTTCATTTACAAAAGTCATGGTTTCATTGTTCACTATTGTAAGCATGGATTGAAACCACACTTTCACTGTTCATTTAAATTAGATTTAATTTTTTTTTGTAAATAATTTTTTTCTGTTGTCATTGTTTCGGTGATAATGTAATTCATAAATTTTGTTTGGCTTTACTGAAGTCGTTCTCATGTTAAATTTTTTATTTTTTCTTTTGTCTTTGTTTTGGTTTAGAAAATGTAATTCAAATTTTTTTTTGATCTTTACTAAAGCTGTTTTCATATAAATTTTTTTTGTTTATTGTTTTGTGTTTGTTTTGGGTTAGAAGATAATAATGTAATTAATAATTTTTTTTTTTTTTTGATTTACTAAAGTCGTTTTTCATGTAAATTTTTTTTTTCTTTTGTCTTTGTTTTGGGTTAGAAGGTGTAATTCAAGCATTTTTTTTTGGCTTTACTAAAGCCGTTTTCATGTAAATTTTTTTTTCTTTTCTTTTGTCTTTGTTTTGCGTTAGAAGGTGATAATATAATTCAGAAATTTTTTTTTGGCTTTACTAAAGCCGTTTTCATGTAAAATTTTCTTTTTTTTCTTTTGTCTTTGTTTTGGATTAGAAGGTGTTATTCAGAAATTTATTTTGGCTTTACTAAAGCCGTTTTCATTTAAATATATGATATTGAGATGTCAGATGATGATGATACTGAATGAAATTGTTTGGATGAACGCCCAAACCATTTCTGTAATGCATGCAATTTTTAATGCTTATCCACGACTTATCTTATCAATGAAGGGAGATATTTCAATTGTTTTCGAATATTTATTGTAATTCTACCTTTACTTTCTCTCCGTTATTGTTATTTTGAAGAACGCTACTTGAATTAGACTTTCATGATTTCATGCATTATTGATGTGGAATATAATAATGATACTTAATGAACAAGGTATGAGTTCATATCGATTGATAGTTGAAATACTTGTGTTTGTTTAGATATTTATTTTGTTTCCTTTTTGTTCATATTGCTCCCCACAACTATCCATTATGCAATGTTCACATTTTTTTCCCAGATTTTTGTTGTATAAAATTTTTACAAACCTGTAGCAACACAAGTGGTCCTCCAATCTCATTTAATCATAAAATCCTATCAATTCTTATCATTTTTTTCCTGTTTTCGTTTTCATTTTTATGGAAATCATCAAAACAAGTAAGAATAAAAAATTGTGAAATTATATTTTTCGAAGAAATAAGTATGACACATTTACATCATCTGTACAAGTTTGATATACAAAAACTATAACAAAAACTATAAATAAAATAAACTATACACTCCACATCACACCCGCTAATGCCCTAACCTGCCCCCAGTCCCACAACCCCGACCGTGGACCTCTCTCCTCGGTCTCCTGCGGTAGACTCTCTGAATATCTGGCGCTCCCTCCCCTGCATATGGCCCTCCACTGACTGTCTGTGGAGCCTGGTAAATCAGTGAATTCACTGTTGCCATATGAGTTTCTGAATTGAGAATCCCACATATATCAAGTAGAGATGAGTTGTCACTGTAATTAAAAATCGAGCAAAAAATCAACTTGACCAAAGCCTGTGCACCAAGTCACATGACTTGACCATCCATCTGCATATACGAACAAAATAAGGGCATGCTGACTGTAAGGTAAATCAGTGAATTCATTGTTGCCATGTGACTTTCTGAATTGAGAATCCCACATATATCAATAAGAGATGTGTTGTCACTGTGTATCAAATAATCGAGCAAAATATCGAGAAAATCCAAGTCTGTGCACCATGTCACATGACTTCGCAATGACAAGTCTCTCCACGATTTGACTACTCAATGTTTGAAAAAATGAAGCTTATGTAGGCAATGTTGTGTTTCACTTAGCTATGCATCATTCGTTGTTACGACTTACTATTCTATCAACGGGAAAAGTATGACTATTTGAATTTCTGTTGTCATCTGGAATTATTTTAAAATCAACTTTTGAATATTCGATTTGTAATATTTTGGGAAATATTTACAATCTCAACTTTTGAAATCAACTTTAAAATAATGATGGATCTTGTGAGTGAAGCGTGTGTTACGTAGGAGTACTTGGCCACCAATGTTTTATGTCAACCCCCCATTCCTTACCAGAGTCATTATTTTTTCTGGACTTCCAGGAATTAGAATGCGACTCTTTCTTCTTTCCTGATGGATATTGAAATTCTTTACGTAAAGGATCCGTATTTGACGAGGCCCAGTTACGGGAAGCTTTTCACCGACCTACCTCTTCGGTTTTATGTGTTATTGAAGGCGGTAGTTTGTTTCACCGAGTTTAGTTTTCTGTCAACCCCTCATTCCTTACCAGAATCATCATTTGTACTAGACTTACAAGAATTGAAAGGTGACTCTTTCTTCTTTCCTGATGGAGATTGAAATTCTTTACGTAGAGGATCCCTATTTAACGAGGCACAATTAAGGGAAACTTTTCACTGAGCTACCTGTTCTGTTTTATGTGTTTTAATTATTCACATAATTAAACATACATTAATCCATTCATTAATCCAGAACATTCATTAACTCATTGCAATTCAATAAAGAAAGTCATGAACTAATAACTGTAAATTACTATAAATGTAGTTATGTCATAAACTTCAGGTTCATAAAACAAATACTTAAAATAGATCCGTACGTAAGATGAACAACAACATTGTCTTACACTCCAGTAACGAACATACGACACAACGTACATACAAACATATATGAAAGATAACGGTGTTTGATTTCTTATTCCTCATCTGACATGTAGTAGTCAGAGAAATATTTTTCATTATTTAAGACACTATTTCGCTCAGTCATTGTCAAATCTCGGTTGCTTGCTTCTGCCATTTCGGTGGCTAGCTGAAGCATGAAATGTTGACATCTCCGCATCAACATTCTGTTGTTCTCCTTCTTAATTCTGGTAACTGCTTTTTCATAGTCACTCACATTTCGTCTAGCCATGGTCAATGAACGACGATGAGGTACCGGTGCCCCAAAGTTACGTAGATCATTATACAATCC